GATCCGCGAGAAAAGATTGTGTCATTGGCAGAGCTCGTACAGCAACTTCCATTGGCGAACGAGACACTATTGAAATACCTCATTGCTTTCCTAATTAAGATCATCAAGCATTCAGATACGAACAAGATGACTGTACGTAACGTCGGTATTGTTTTCTCTCCGACGTTGAATATCCCAGCTCCGGTATTTGCGCTGCTCCTGCAGAACTACCAGGGTATCTTTGGTATAGAACCAGAGGAATACGAACTCCCGTCTCCGGTTGATACGGACTCGGGCACAATAGAGACACAGCCACCTCGGCCGCCTACAGCGACGGATTCGCCTCAAAGGCGGCTAATCGACCAGACACAGCAGCGATTGACACCTACTCCGCCGCCCGGTGTATTCGGTGGAGGGCTTCGTCCGACTGCGACACCTCCACCTCGCCAAACCTCATATGAGCCACATTACTTAGCTCAACCGGGATCACAATCCTCACTTCGCCCAGCTTACGAAAACAACTTGGTTTTACCACCAGGTTATGATCCAAACTCGAGGCAGCCCAATTATGACCGCCCACATTATGCATCATCTTACGAACAGAACTACAGCGACAATTCGTTATCGGCATACGATCAATCTTACAATAAGAACAAAAGGAGAGAGAGCACAATGTTTATGGGGAACATGATGCTTAATCAGCAAGGCCTTAACCAACAAGGTTCCAAGAGCCATCTGAGGGAGGAAACTAGGATGTAATCACATCCAGCGTCGGGGCCCGCCGCCGTCTTTATGGCATAACAATTTTTGATGATTTCGCATATATAAGTCACGATTTATTACTGTTTTACATGGCTAGCGCCGACATTAGCGTCTCGTTAACAATTCTTATTCGATTCCTTCGCTTCGAGACCATTTGATATTTTCCGCATTCTCCAGCAAGCAGCAGAGGACCATGATCTACTCTGTAACCTCATCGCACTTCAATGCCTTGAACCAAGCATTGTTCCATTGGTACAATAGCTACGGACTGGAGCCCTAGCAAACATAATACTCTAATGATACTATTTCAGATAGTCTCGAGATGTGAGGCTAGAGCAGAAGAAAGAATTAAAACGCGAAGGGGGGTTACCATTTGGTTACCCCAAATCTTGGGGCCGATTTTGGCAAAATCATACAATCAAGCTGCAGCTGCGGGAGGCAGTTCGTCTTATTGGCTTCTACAGGTGGAATATCTTGGATGACTAAATGGGGAAGAGATATCGTGGCGTTGATGGCTCTCGTAAGGGCATGATGCCCAAATACCTATAGCATTTAGCGAATGAAGCACGAAAATTCGATTTTGTTAGAAGCAGTGTTTGACACTTTGGAGCCAAAACTCTCCGCGGTTAGAAATCTCTGACCGCAGACGATAGACGATAGGATACCTAGGTAGACAAATACGAGTCTTGCATAAATCAGTCATGTGAACCAACTGTGCAGCAGCCCAGTGCGACAAAAATCTTGCATGCGTAGATAGGTTATGTAGGTAGGTACCTTTTAGGTACTTGCCATTGGCCTGGGGCGTTTTCTTGTGTTTCCATCCATGTACAATTTGTGAGATGGTGATACTAAAATTGTGCCACGATTAACTTACCATTAGAACATTAGCCCCAGACACCTATTAGAGCCTCATCTTCCGGCTCGGTAGGATTTCGTAGCAAAACGCAACTGAATGGAATTTTTTGTTTTTTTGTTTTGTTTTTTAGCAACCAGAATTCGAGGAGAACATATTGTGATTACTCAGCCTTCGTTCTCGGCACGTTCCGCCGCTTTTATATGCCTATTATCGAGCCATTTGACACCATTGCCATCTTTTTTTGCCAACGCCTAGACGAAACTATAACTTTCTCTCCGCCGTAGACCCGATAATCCATACGACGCCAACCACGCTTATGTAGGTTTTTTTAAGTGACTTCAAATCTGAATGGACTAGACATGAAATAAAGCTCGTATTAACTACTGCTCCTTTTATTTAGTCATGCCATCATAGGATGATATTTCACCAACAAGCATATTACATTAATAACCCACCAACTTACATACCTTAGCTAGGTATGTATTCTCTTGTTGTAGTATACTCAGTCCGATCGATCGGCTGCCGATGCAAGCAACTACCGACAGATCAGCCTATGGTAGGCAGTTCTACATTTGTATGTTCAGTATATTTAGTATATTTAGCAACCCAATGTCACTGGTACGGGGGTTAAGTGTTGCCCCGGGCCGCATGTGATCACCGGCTCGCAACCGTGTCAACGCCGGTTGTTTGGTCGAATTTCTGCTTTGAGGGGGATGCATCCTAATGCGCGCCTTAGGTCAGGTCTAGACTCTACCGTAGAACCCCCCGCGGATTCCTGCTTTTCGATCCGATATATGATATTACCACCCCAAGCTGCAGCAAGGGACGTACGGATCCTATGCTCGGTATCCTGGGACACGTCCTCCCGGGGGTAAGGACATACCTGCCTTTACCTACGTTGCTCTCCGTTGCCGTGGACATATTGATCGTCGCGAATAAGCAGGGCTACAGCAATGAAACGACGGCATACGCCACGACCCAAGGAGGGAACGCCAGCACACCTACCAATAGCACCCACAAACAAGACACGATACTATGTGCTGACAGCAAGCCACCATATCTACCTACTCCTACCTGTTCCATCCCACACATTAACGGGACTATATTCTCACATTCTCGCACGGTATCAATGTGTCCCTTACGCCATCCTCGGCTGAGCGTGAGAGCACAAGAGTACGATCAGGATCGCGCTACACGAGTAGACCTACATCTACCGAGAATTAACTTCGACGGGTAGTCATAGATCTTCGATCCCCGCGGTACGTGTTGTGACTAAGCCATTCCGGTGCGAGGTAAGATATGGTAAGAGTCATTCAAAAAGCTTCGTGTGTTCTGGTCGAGTAATATAAACTGACCGTGGCTCCAGATGGTCGAATTATCGGCGAGCAATTATACCGGTCAGCCATGATTCGCCTATCCGTTTTGCGCGGTCCATATCCCATGTCCACGTCCACGAATTAAGTTGCCGAGTCACAAGGCAGGCAGGGTATTATAATAGGTACGTAGTAATGGAAAAAGACGTCTTGTGCGCGTTCCTTCTAACATGACAATTTAGCCCCGTACGTCCCCGTACGTTAGATTGAAAGCTAGAATTCAACCCCCCAGACCCTGAACCCTGAGATCCAGATCTCGTACATTTCTAGTGTCCATGTTGAGGAGTCGGATTAGCTTGCAGACGCGGGGCACGATTCATGGTATTCATGGTATTCAATAGGAGATTTTGGATCAAAGACCTCCTTGCACCGGGCTGGGAGAAATGAGACTTGTCTTTTTTGTTGGGGTGGTTTCTGTCGTATTCTTCATCAGCTGGGTGTTATATTAATGTCTACGAGACGATTTAGAATAGATGATCGGCCGCGGCTGCAGATTGAAGACTTCCAAGAGGCATTCGATCGTCAAGGAGAGTCGGAGTTTGGTATCGTTGTGCCTATTATCTGGGCCGGAGGCTCTCCGTGACTTAGCGCCCTTCCTCCAGAATGTTTTCCTTTTTTCTATCTCTCCATACGTAGCTTGCCCTGACTGCACGGTGCACGGGGTAAGAGATATTTTCTCGGACTCGGCGCCGAGCCAATCAAGAGGCCGGGCTTTTCTCGGGGGCAATAATTTCCAAGAGAACCTTGAAGAGCAGATAGACCTGTTAAGTCTCATAAGACTCTAACTGGATTTGGGGCATTTAGATGCCTAATATGCCTAGGGTATTCTTGGGGACTTCTCGTTTATATGTATGAACCTTAGAGTGGCGACTAATTTTAGCTACTTGGAGAATGATAGCTGTCAATAAGTCCCACCCGGAAGCTAAAATAAGAGAGATGTGCATATTTGATGTAAGTTTGAGTCAGCCGAGTTCAATGTTGTGTTGAACCACGAATGATGTGGGGGTTAATTCCCCTACGAGGTGCGAGGTGCGAGGTGCGAGGTAGCTTAGGAGCACTGGAGCGGCGTCGTTTATTACCAGGCTTTGATCCCTCCTTTTATTCCGTCTTGTCCTCGATATGTTAAAAGATTTCCAAACGATGTGATTATCATATTGGTTTAAATTTCTGTTAGCATATTCCTATACTGCGGATTAAAGTAACATACTAGCCATTTTTTTTAAACAAATTTATAACCAACCTATTTAACATTAATATAATGACAACAAGTCTTTAAAAACCCTTGCTCTTAAATAATATCTTCCCTTTTTCTCCCCCACCCTTCATTCGCCACATTGCGTCGTGTCCCTCGCGTGCTTTTTGTTACTAATAAGTACAATGCGAAATCATAGGCTGGTCCTGGCAACGTTTGAGGTACTCATGCATCCAGCTCTTATTGCACAAGTCACCGTCCGCGGTGTATTACAAGCTCGCTTGATAACGACCTCAAGGTGTACTGCTGCATATAAGACGAGCCAATCACCACCCACGGAACCTAGTCCGACAGTAACGTGCATATAAGACTACAAGCGATATAGAACCGTATTTTAATAACATAGCCCCTTGACAAGTACTGTACACAGGCCCTGGACGGCCCAGAGCCCAGAGCTTAGGGCGTCTGAACGTGATAGTTTAATCCGAACTCTCGTCTCTCATACATAGTAGGCCGGTCCTTCAAAGTAACCCCAAACCTAATCACGATCATGTATAATAGGTCTGTATGGTCTGCATGGCTAGTGCAAACACACTTAATACCGAGCAAATCCCATCCCATCTAAGCATCTACTTCCGCCAAAATCAGTATCCCGCTGTTATGACGTCCCATGATCCCAGAATTCAGGGATCAGGCCCAGTCTAATACAATTGCTCCGTCGAAGTTTACCAGTACGACCGGTCGAAGTTTGCCTCAATAGAAAGACAAAAAGAATCTAGATAGTTCGCACGACCTTTCTCACACATACACATACGCTTTCTCTCTCTCTCACTCCGGAATCGTCTCACATCTTGATTTATTCCTCCTTCGAAGCTCTATGATCAATTTCGAAAAACGTAGAATATATCAACGACTTGACGTTGTCATATTTGTACTCCATCATAACAAAAACAAATCAACTCGAAGGGCTCTCTACTAGTTGAAACTAAGCAGTCACCCATCACAAAGACTACCAGAAGCCTACAGAAGCTGCCTACAAAGGATCGCTACAAGCATGAATGCAGTTGTGGACACTGCGCGGAAGTTTGATAATTGGTCCGAGGAGATTCCAACATCATGGACTCCGACAATGTTCACATCACCTTTCGGTGAGAGCATCACAGCTCACGATTCTCAACTTTGGGCTAGCCCGGGTAACAATCTAGACGACTATTATAGGCCAAATCACCAATCCGCGCGGGACGAATTAGCAAATGATATAGATACAAGCGACAACGTGAGCAGGTATCTATTTTCCTTCAAATATCATATTCATACCTTGCATAACTTCCCAAATTACTAACTGGCGATTTAGTTTGATGCTGGCTATACAATCGACAACGCCGCCGTAGCAGCAGGCACGTTTGTTTACGACCAATATACAGGCACAGGTGCATCTGGACAATCTACTCACCATGACTTAGATGACCCTTTTGCCGAGCACACAAGACGATCGAAAAATATCCAACCAAGTGCCGGTGATGGAGCAATATTTAACAATAGCACCATACCGGCAACGTTATTATCACCGACAACAAATCGCAATCGCAATCGGCTTTCTTCGAATAGCTCCGAGACGAATAAACTTTCACCTCAGTCGGTGTTAGGGATATCACCAATATCCCCATCTTCAATGAACTGGATGGCGGACGGAGACGACCAACCCTCCCCTCCCTCCCCAGCATGTAGCGTCAACGCTGGCAACGACCACTTGCCGCCGGTGAACAGACGTAACCGTGAGCGGAATCGCGTGGCGGCACACAAGTGTCGGCAGAAGGCGAAGCAAAGCATGTCGGAACTGCAGATACGGGAACGGGAGTTGAGCCAGCAAAACCGGATACTTCTAGAGCATGCAGGTAGCTTAAGGGACGAGATTCTGGATCTCAAGAACGAGATTCTCAAGCACAGTAATTGCGATAGCGACATTATCCAGAATTACATCTCGCGGGCGGCTCGTGACGTGCACTGATGTGTATTGAAACTCGACGTCTCGGCGACTGACGACTAGTCGGTGAATGAGGTTGTCATCGTCTTGGTATTTTGGGAGGACTTTTGCCTGAGCAAGGATATCAACGAGTTTACTAAAAGAACGGACGGAATAGTAAGATTACGGCCAAGGCCTCTTTGTTCCAAAGGGAATTTTCCAACTATCTCACCTAGACCATCAGGTCTAATAATGGCGGCGGTTTCGTCTGGGACGTCGATTAGGTCTGCTAGACCCTGGCTCGCTAAGTACTTTCAAGTGACACTTGAAAGCTGGCATGATATGGGGTTTATCCGGCGTTTCGTCTTTCTTTTCTCGTAAGGGGCCCTGGAGGGGAATTTTTGTCCTTATGGGACGTCTGGAGCCATGTCATAGTAATTGACTGCGATAGCGCACTGCCTCGGTAGCCGGTGGCTGGCGACACGTTTGCTCAACTCAAACAACAAGGCGACATGCCATAATCAATATGTTGAATCTTCAAAGCTTGGGGGTTTATAAATGTAATACCAAGACGGCTTGATAAAACTTGACGAGGAGTCATGGTCGATATGTTTGGACTCGTGTCGTAGGATTAAGTAGATAGTCTAGTTGATACGGAAATACCAGCAAAGATATAGGAATGAGAGTGGAGAGTCAACTATGTTGAGGAACTCACCGAGGGGATAACAACATTATATACGCGAACGCTGCTAAGAAGTGATCATGTACCTTTATGATAAGTTGGAAACGTGCATAATATAAAGAAGATTTCACCTGTCAACATATCATCAGAGTACCCACCGGACCCCCATTCCAGCAGGGGATGTAAGTATCAGACGTATAGGAGAGCTTCGCGAAAACGACCACTCCCAAATATCCAGCTCCCATGGAATCGCGACTAAGCAGCCGGGGAAGCTAGCGAACACGACCTCCCATCTTACTATACGTCCGTCCCCTCGTTATATTACGCCGTCAGCTGTACCTTCGCCCCCGATTACTTGCCGATTACTTCCCTTTTCTTTTGACAACCCACAGAAACGGTTGGCAGGGTGCACGATGAGGTAATTTAAAAGGGATGGACTAAAGACTCTAGATTGTTCTCTTTACATCTGACTAATAACACTATACGCTATAACATATATACCTACCTCGCTTCACCGTTTTATAACAAAAGCCCGTTAATATTTTTAATGCTCAGACTTTATTAGGTCACATCTACCTATATAATAATAGAAGTTTATTGTATTTTATTTTATTTACAATTATAATGCTTAAAAGTTAAACTTATAAAAAACACTTGAATAAGACTTAACGTAGAATTGGCACTTGTTGTGATGCTATTCTGCTAGTGTCCGTTTACTAAATGAAGGCTATTAAGAATTATCATGATTGTTTACCCTAGCTAAGCTCTCCCGCCTCTTACGGTACCGCTATTTATAGGTAGAATGAGTATTGTATACGTCACAATTACCTCTTCCAGAACCGTGTTAAGCACTCCCGAGTCTTTCAGTTTAAGAACTTTAACATCAATTCTATACGGTCACGAGATGGATTTAAGAGATCCTATATGGTCATTTAAACGTGACTCAGTCGTAATTAGCCATCAATGTAACACCAAATTGTATAGGGCGGGTGTTTTATAAGTAATTCCCATCCAATACATATCGTTACACCCCATTCCTCATGAACGCATCCGGTTTTTTAATTTGACAAGCTTACACCCGGGTCAACGAGCCCATGCATCATAAAGTCTTACCGTAATCACTACGGCAGATAGCTTCCAAGGTCTAGATCGATACGCTATCATGTTCGCGGGGGTAAGTTATCTATGCATGAGAACTGCTGCCCGGTCGAGATGTATTATTTGACACTGATTGGCTCTATACACTATAGACATGGGAAGCACTCAACAGTATACGGTGCACCATTAGTACACAACCGACAAAACAAAAAAAGCGGATGAAAATTTATCCGACTTGGCATATATGCTATATTTATAGCGCTTATATGCGCTAAAGCCCACTATAAATACAGGGCATTACAGTGATGCATGCGCTAAAGCCCACTATAAATATAGGGCATTATAGTGATGCATGCGCTAAAGTTATAGCGCTTTAAAAAAAAAAGTCTCCAAAGCTAAAATAAAATTTATTAAATCTATTAAGTCCATTGTAATTATAGTAGACTTAGCGCATGCAGCCACTATAATTACAGTAGACTTAATAAACTTAACTTCGCTATAAAAATTTTCTTTTAAAGTATTTAAATACCTATTTACCTAATAAGGTAAGAGTAATGCGTATTAAATAAATAATATTAAATCCACTAAGTCCATTAAATCCACTATAATAATAGTGGCTGCATGCGCTAAGTCCACTATAATTACAGTAGACTTAATGATATTTTCAAAAATTAAATTAAGGTTCTCATAGCAGCTATCTACAGCTAGCAAAGTGTTAGCCAATTAAAACCTTATATTTACAAGCCTTGTAATTATAGCGTATTGTTCACTGTAATCCCCTGTAGTTGTAGGGCCTCTAGTGGGTACGTGCGCTATAATTATAGCGCTTACGCCAGCCAATCGGACGAATTTTCATCCGTTTTTTTGTTTTATCGGTTGTGCACTAATGTGCCACCGTAAACAGTGTGGATCTTATAGCGCTTGGATATATTAGCTGGGTATGAGAATATGTCATCACGACGCGGAGGCGACACCCATGACATTTTCAGAGGTAAACCGCACAACATAAACCAAAATCATACGAGATTGTTTCATACATCCGTATGGCCAAGGAAGAAGGCAGCCATTTCAATTATAATCGTGTCATTATTTCCCCAGCGCTCTCAACCTATCCCCCCAAACCCACAAAAGTAACGGCACGGGGAGACCAAGGGCTACAAAAACGAATGCCAGGAGACTGTGCTATCGTACAGTTGAGAGGCAAATATTGGAAAGACGAATCCTAGTATGTTAGATAGAAATCCCGTGGCGGCATGCGCCGAGGCACCCAGCTCGCCAAACATGTCAAGAGTGTATGCTAGCAGAGCTTGAGCTAGAATTGAGCATCCACACGTGAATATGATAGCACCGATGTCAACCATGACCCAAGAAATGCGGCATTCTGCTGTCCATCCGTACCAAAAGAGCCCCACGGGAATGAAAAGGACCCCAGGAATCATATACGGAACGCGAAACTCAGGCCGATCCTCACCCTTATTCTTTGGTCGATCACGTAGCCGTCTATGTATAAGGACCACTGTAGTAGCCAAAGTCAGAAATTACCCCTACTAGAGAGCTTTCGCATAATAACACAACTTTACTAACTCTTGCCCCTATCTGCGCCGTCATACAAAAGCCAATCGAGAAAGATAGATAGGTAGTGTAAACTGCCAATGAGAGGGGATTGCTCGTACCAATCGATCCAGAGCATTGCAAAAGTTGAGATCATTAATGTATAGATACCAAAGTTCAAGGCAAGAACGAGAGGTATAACCTGAATAATTGGTTGCCGGATAAGGAGCCGAAGCGGTCGTCGAAGATAGATCGCTAGCCGGGAGAAAAAGTCTTTCCAGGACGCCCATTGCTTTGGAGATGAAGCTGGCACGACCGACTCGGATCTCACGGCCGCCTTTCGACGTAGTAGAACCGGAGTGTACGACTCTTTAATGATAAATGCCCCCAATAGGGTTATGAATGCGTCGAAGGTGCTCACGATCCAGAAGAGCCACGGCCAGTAGACAAGCTGTACAACGGCCCCGCCGATGATAGGGCTCAGAGCCAGACCCAGATACGGAAGAAAAGAGGCGATGGGAAATGACTTACCACGATCTTTCGCGTGGTACATATCCGCCATGACAGGTCCCGTAAGCTAACGGAGCAAGAGAACAAGAATTCAACGTATTTTTCGAAGCTAACGAGAAATAATCATGCGTACTATAATGCCAGCCCCCGCGCCCGTTGCAGCGAGAAAGCTACTAGTAATCATCAAACCTGTTGATCTTCCGACCGTTCATCTCTGCGAGAGCAGCTATAAAGAATGGGCCAACCCCCCAAACCGAGAACGTAGACGGAGAGGATGATCTGCGAAGTCGACGCGTCGATGTTTAAATCACGAGCTATGTTACCGAGGACCGCTGCCATTTTGCTAGCTGATATAAAGTTACGAGCTGATCGATAGAAAAAATAATACCGATTGAGACCTTCCGCCACTCAGGCCAGTTGTATGGATCGTTAGGGTCGTCGGGCACGTCTCACGTTGCTCCGTACAGCTCGTGTAGCCGTGCGAGACGCTTTTCAGCTTCGGTATCTTGGTTCACAACTTGCGCTTTCAGCTGTTCTGGTAAGCCCTTAGTTAGAGGCTCCGGGTTTTTCATCAGACCGCCTTCTTTCTTTTCGCTAGGGGACATGCATAATTCAGGATACTAGACGCCTCGATTCGTGTGTCCGTGAGTTATCGTATATTCCTAAATACCTAGGTACCTTACCTACCTAGGCACGTTCACACTATTTCACTAGTCCGAAGAGAAAATCGCACCATCATATAAAGAACAATGCAATGACTCCATTACTGTACCCTGATTTCCGAGTAACTTCTACTCTTGACAAGGGCCTAGCTTAATAACACATGAGATATTCACAGGTATAGCCGCTCCCAAATAATCGTATGATATACCATCTCACCCCGGTAACCGGGAGTCGTTTCTATAGGAGAAATTATTAAGCTATCCCAGGATAAGCAGTCCGACATATTATAATTGTCTACGGTAGCTGCCTAAAAGTGATGATGGTATCCCGAGGTCGCCAATTTCATCATACCTTGATTTCCCCTTATTTTCCCCATAGGACCGAGCAAGAGACTTCGGAATTCCTTCCCGAAGGCTGAACTATAATACGCTAGACAGGGGCTAGCCCCGGACCATCCAATAGAACTACATCCGAGGATCTGATAAAATCCCTTGGTATCAGCTAGTGACACCAGCGGTCTACTAGCGCCATCTGATAAGCTTCTTGGACCGGGATTCATTATGGGACTGTGGGTCGGGACTCCAGAGCTAATGCGCATAAGACCCGGAGAAGGCAGGTAGTGAAGATGATGATAAAGACTGGAACATTTATATAGAGGTAGGGCTCGGAACCCATGGGCTCCATCTGCTCATAGAGATTCTCACTGAACAAGGATTGAAGAAAGCTTTGTCGTTATAGCAAGCTCGCATCCTCATACCAACCTGGTAGAAAATAACAAAGTGAACCAGCATAAAATCTGTTAAAGTTACCATAGAAACACCCGTTCACTGTGTGTTACATACCTAGGTAGGTAGATAAAATAAATGTTTAGGGCTTCGAAAAGCAAGTCCCAATCACTTAAGTTGTCATCCAACGTAAGACTTCAATTTCAATATTTTCCAATAAACAAAATAAGTAGTAGCGAACGTCTTCATTGTAGAGCCGGCTCAAGTCATAATCTAAATAGAGAAGCTTTAGAGTATAGTAGAAAATATTAAACCAAAGACTTTAGAAAGAGATAAGCCCTTGGTTAAACTCGTAGAGTATAGCAGATGCTCTGCTTCCTATCTCCATATCCGAATAGCATCAGGGCTTTGACGTAAATTACAATTACAATATCCTTGTAACTATCCCTCAACAACGTTATACATATTCTTTTTGATTCAAGTTCGTAATCGAAGCGTGTGTACGTGAATACACGGTGCGATACCTAGGCTCTGTAACCCAACGATGTCTCATTTGTCCCTGCAATAGTCTTGCCTAATGCCTAAAATGCTTTTCCTAGCTTTCTATAATTCTAATTGGTGCCACGATGCTCTAACCTAGTGGAATTCCGCTTTCTTTACCTTTATGCTAGTCTGCTTACTTTCCTTGCTTATATCGAATATCCTCTAATACAGTAAAAATTAGCACCAATCTTACATTATCTTCGCGTGCCTTAGAACTGTCTTATACTTGTCGTGAATAATTTGCGATGAAAGTATATAAAGGATAGTTGAGAAATCAATGGGGTCCCTTTTTCCCCGTCTCTGCTTTCCCGTGCCTGGGGGAAACTATAACAAATCGCTGACCATAGTGTAGTACAGGGTCTAAGTTTTCGCATCTGCTATGAGAATTAACCGAGAATGTCTTACCAACCTACTGTTTGGCACCCGTCCTCCTCTCAAAGCTTGTGTAATAACTGGCTTCTTACATGTAAGTAGCCACATTTGGCAGATCACATCGCATATGCAGAACTCCGTATCCATAGTAAGCCACGAGTCTCGCATATCCAACATTAGGGAGTTCCCTACCTAAATTGCGATGCCCAAAAATCCTTATTACATAGGAGATCTTGAATTTGACCGTTATGAACGACAAGATGGTTAATGCCGCTTATGCACTCAGGTTGGAGTAAATAGTTGTATCCCAGTTATAAGTAATTATAAGATTTAACTTCTCATGTATAGGTATACTTTATCTTCTAATCTGCACGGATATGACTGTCAACTTTTAGTAAATACTAATAGACTATCCAAGTTGAATATTTACTTCCTAATGTATATTGTGAGTAACCGACCAATCCTACATTTTCTTAAACCACAGACTCACATACACATTCTCAGCGAATCTCAATCATACCGGGCCTCGCCGGCTTCATCGAGTATATCCAGTGCTTATTTAGTGGAGCTCCGCCCCTAATGCTACCGAAAATTGACCGGCTTTTCGCCGCAGTATGTGACAGGGCAAAGCTTTGCCAGTTAAGCGCAAAGATCCATTCTATTCACAACCTCGCACAGGCTGCGATAAGCCGACAAGTTTGCGGCTTCGCGAAAAAAAAAAAAAAAAAAAAAAAAGGGAGTGTGATTGTGACGGGGCTGGTGCTTGTCCAGAATGAATATACATAAACCTAACAGCTCGCGGGGGTTGTCCCGTTTGTCCCGTTTGTCCGTCGGATCTAATCCCATTGGATATTAAAATTCCCACTGCCCCTCTGTCTGCGTGTAATTACAAGTCCAACAAATATCATAAACTCAATGGGGATCACATCCATCCCATCCGATCTGCTCGGAACGCGAGCGGGAATCTTCAGAAGTGTGCTGTTGACAGCTACCGTGGCCACCGCGGCATATTTTTCAGCCGGACTCGTTCTGCAGTCTAAAAGGGCCAAGCAACAGCCCATTACACCGTCTCCAAGGACAAGAACTCTCCCGACACTCTCAGAGGAGGAGACTTTAACTCTCCCATATCCGCCCGACGCCCTTCCCGGGGGGAGAGATGTAGAGACCCCGTATGGCTCAATACGGGTCTATGAGTGGGGTCCCGAAGATGGGGAAAAGGTCCTTTTTGCCCACGGCATTAGTATGCCCACAATATCGTTAGGAGATCTTGGACATGAATTTGTTGGTAAGGGGTGCCGTGTTATGCTCTTCGGTAAGTTATATCCTCTCCCCCTTTCTTCTTGACCATCGTATTATGGATACATTACCTAGGTCAAGGGCAGATAGGGTTCTTACCATTTTCCTTATCAGATCTCTTTGGCCGCGGGTACTCAGACGCGCCGAGTGACCTCGTTTACGATGAGCGACTTTATGTAACGCAGTTTCTGTTGGTCCTAGCATCATCCAAGCTACCATGGACAACGTTCAACCTTGTAGGATACTCTCTTGGCGGAGGCCTTTGTGTCTTATTCACGAGATATTTCCCGCATTTAATTAGCTCGCTCACACTGGTAGCCAGCTGCGGCCTGATCCGGCCGTACCATGTTGGCTGGAAGAGCCGGTTGCTCTATAACTCAGGATTCATCCCGGAGTTCCTAGTGAAAATACTAGTGCGAAGGAGGATACGGCCGAAGGCTGAGCAGCCGCCCGGTGCAGCCGGCGCCGATGTCGCGTCTGCCGAAACTAAGAAGCACTTACCGAACGGAGATAGCGATGCTAATGGCGGCGCCGGATTTAACAGTACATCCATCTCCAAGTTTCGGCCGAACGTCACTGTGTCCTCAATTGTGGGATGGCAGGTAGATCATCACGACGGGTTCGTCACGGCATTCCTCAGCACAATTCGAAACGCCCCTATTTATGCCCCCCAGCAAGACTGGGTGGCTTTACATAAGATTCTTGAGTCTAGGAGACGATCCGAGCATGACAAAGAAGCCGGACCGATTTCGGGACTCCGTGCCGGGAAGATTCTGATGATACTCGGGGAGGACGACCCCGTCGTCGTCAAGGATGAGACAATAGAAGACGCCCAAAATATGCTCGGATGTGACGGAGTTGAAATTGCTGTTTTACCTGGAGGCCATGAGATACCTATCTCGGCGAGTTCTCGTATTGCAAGTACGGTAGAAGCCTTCTGGCGTAAATATTTGGCTTGAGCAGGCTCTGTCGCCCATAAGGCATTGGATATCATTTAGGAATAGCCTTGAATAGATTGTATCTCTTAGTACCTAGCATTAGTTAGCTATAGATAATAAGTCCCTCTTAGTTGTTTAGCCCCGATGCTACATTACTTTACCCGGAAAGGAGATTTAGTCTAGGATGTCGAGTCTAGCAATGAGTTCTCTCAAAGCACTGACAAGGGCACAAGAACTCATTCGTTTATAACCATCAATTCCTTCTATTTAATTAAAGAACCACAAAGGTAGATGGATGGGGAGGAATATGTCATACATATGATGGACATGATTGTAGCATGACAGGTAGTAAGTAAATAGCCCGAGGGGGTTAGCTTTACAGTCACGCTTCGTTCATCATTTTCGAAGACTCCAGCTCTTCACATGCATCCAATTATGGTCTTTCTGCTGTATCTATAACAAAATACTGGACTATATAGTTGACTACTGTATTATATGCAACTCCGGCGGGCGAGTTGTTGCCACCATGCAATAGCATGCTAAGCGGTAGATACACCCTTTGTGTCTAACCTCACTCAACTGAACGACATGTCCGGATACTTCGAAGCTCATATATGCTGACCGGTCTGCAAAATAGAACGCCATTTAGGAACATGGTAATAACAACTGTCCTTACATACTATACTGTATGTATGTCAGCCTTTGTTCGTTATAGTATGATATACTGCATGGGTGATTCGCTAGACGTTTCTTGGGCCACACGCCAAGTTTATTGGCGTCGGCTTTCAAGGATCATTTTACCAATTGTATCAAACCCCAGTTAGTTGGCGGTGTGGACAGGGTAGCAGGGTACCACGTAGTAGTGCGTAGCCGTCCTGTCCAAAAGCAATCTGGGGATTGCTTACTGATTGCCTGCTGCCCATATGGCCTATCATATATTGTCAAGCATGAACCCCAAAGGGGCGCTGGCTTGGCGCCGGCATGACCACGACTGGCTGCTTCAAGGGGCTGCATACATAGTGTGCAAGGGTTATTTTAGATCAGTATCTAATGCCCCAAGTTGCTTGGAAAAGCATGGACTAAGAGCAGAAGGAGTGAAGAGAACTTTCTTCTAATATCCACAGATAATATGCATGACACGTTGCTATGTCCACCTCCTGTCCATCTTCAACGTATATGGGTTGGAACGCTGGGGTCTTGCTAGGAGAATGCTGGATACATTACCTTTGTAGATCGGACGATGAATGTGAGCCGAATATATAATATAGTATCTGCAAGCTGTGATTGGCAGATTTGCCAGAACTACAAGGAAACGCGGTAGCACAACCGGACTTACAAACACTGTAGGATACCATATATGTATGTATCGTGCGTAAGATATATCGTGCGCAAGTCCAAAGAGAACGTGATGATCCTAACCTGTATAAGTTACCGATTTACCTATTAGGGATCAAGTCACCGGGAATTTTAGAGTTCATCCCGACAGAGGTGCGATGTAGATGGAAAGTATAAGTTACCTAGGGATCTTATGATGTAAGTTAATTCTTCAGTATAAGGAATTGCATCAAAGGTGTGTATGTGTCGGATACACTAGTTTGATCGAGGCCATTGAACGCTAGAAGCCGGTAGGGATGCGCCCCTTTACCCCGCAATTCCTTTTAAGTTCTGGATTGCAGGTGACGTAAGTGAGCAAGCAAATCAAAAGTAAGAAGTGGAACATATGAATCTATTAGTGTTATCAGTCGTTTCATACCTGCTCCCCCGCGAAACTCTAATCTTGCCTTAGCAGCTGTCCCTTTTTGCATTTGTAGCTTAATGTTCTCTAGCAGGACACAATTAGCATATGCGCCAATCTTCTAGGCGCGTTAGCGTAGAGTTGTTTTTAGCTAACCAGCCAATAGGCTTCCACCCCCCCTCAAGCTTGGTACCTATGTACCTATGTATTAACTGAGCTCCAATTGTCTACAATTAGGTATCTGCAATGTCCATCCATCGCGACTGCCTAGCTCCATATCGATCCTACCATATCTGAGATTCTAACAAACGTTAGCTCTTATTTTAATTCGCCTTCTTCACACCTCTTTATATTCACCATACCTACTTCGATAATCCACCTTTTTTGCCCAACTCCAAAGTCCTGACCAAGCTGGTTCCCTATCCGGCGTTACATTTCCGTTATCCTACTTTCGGAAAGAATAACAACTGTCGAAATCGACGCCATCTAGAAGCCCAGAAGCTTGGGTTACCCCGCTTAGAGCATCTTCAAAGAGGATCGAGTCAGTCGATGCTACACGGCTGAGCATCGTCACGTCAATCAGCAAGACAACTTTCTTTGATAGTGCGCATTGGCGTCTCTTTGCGTCAAAGCGGAAAAGAAACGGTTGATCGTATTGTCATCGCCACACCTACCGACCTATCGTACTATACTTCCTTGTCACTTTCCAACTATCCATACTATTCGTGATATTGCCTACCACATCTTGTTTCATTCCTTTGACTACTCTGCTGTCTTCTGCCTCTTTCCCACCTCGATTCTGTGTTCCACTCGCCAAATCAATCATCCCACACAGCAAACTCAAGGTTTCACTTCTGCTACTTTTATAACGCCACATCATACCACCGCTCCAATCGAAACACGCATTCTTCAATCTACATCGTGCGATTAAACCAACTACTAGTCAACTACATAAACCCAGAACCTCTCCACGCTCTGAAGCTAGTCATCCTCCTCATCCCAACTTAAGCAATTAGAACTAGATCATTTACAAGCGTCAACATGTCGAACGACAACACTAGTGGTCCCTCTAACGAGCGCCGCGGCTCTGTTACTTCCGCTGCATTCTCTAGTCTCTTCCAACGAAGCAATTCGACCTCTACTGGAACTGGCAATGGCCGTGAATCGGTCACATCGGTGGCGGCTAGAGACCAACGTCGACGGCTATCCGTTACTACGGTAGGGCTGTCTGGTACGTCACCCAACTCTGGAAATGCCACGTTCGGAATGCGTAGAGGCAGCATCTCCACCAACAATTCGGATTCAATCGACGAGAGCGCCATCGATGACGAGGAATCCGCCAAGACAGGAGCTACTTCTCCTTTCGCTCGTCGTATTAGCTTCGGCGCCCAGGCTATGCGTAATCTGCGCACTGTACCCGGAAGCCCTGGATCAACTGGTAGGACTCCCCAGCAGTCGAGACGTATTTCTAATGCAAATACACGTGCTCCACCCTCCAGTGCCTTGTCTGCCTCAGCTGCTGCGAGGCGGGCAAGCACCCCTCAGGCAAGCAATGCATTACCTTACAGAGCCCCTTCTGACATGTTTTCTGCTCGGGCAGATAATGGATACAACTGGCCCGAGCAGCTTAGATCCCGTGCCGAAAGCACTGTTTCAGGTCACCGACCGAGTTTTGGACCTCATAGATACGGCTCGCCACCTCGCGGCAGCGGTCAACATGATCGCTCCAAATCTATTTCCGAAATGCCAGCTCCTCCTCAACAAGCCGCTACCGTAAAGCCGAAGCAGCCAGAAAGACCTAAGCCAGACCATATGCAAGAGCGCATTCTCAAGGGCGACTTCTATATGGATTGATTATGATTGGTGTTGTATAGAGGAATTCCCACATTGATTTATTTGACGTGTTTTGGGAACCAGTCTTCTCAAGCTAGTCCTTACAGGTTCGTGGTCACTCATAAGACCACGAGCCATGCGCTCTATCTGCTGTTTTTCCTTTGCATGCCGTCTCTTCAACCTACGTCATTCGTTTCGACGATTTGTTTCCATGGCGTTGAGATGGGGAAATGCGGGGGATAACCGGGTAAATTATCTTCTCAACGCGTGCCTAAACTCAGCCGAAGGAAGCCAGTATCGCTTGTGGGGATGACGCGTCGTTGAGAGAACCCAGGGCGTTTTTCCATATGATTTTGTTTGCCAATTGCGGCCTATGATCAGCATTGTCCGGACTTCAAGGGGCTTGTGTGAACAGCTACTAGAGCTCCACGACCCAATTGCATTTGTATGATATGACGATGGCGATGGATTAAAACACTTTAAGTTATATCATTTACAGGCATCGAAAAGGGTTACACATACCTTATGTATGTACGCAGATATTGGCAATGGGATCATTTGACGAGGAGATTTTTAGAGCTGGCTCATACACATTGTCCCTGAGCAGGTTTTACAAGGCTAGATAAGCTGCATTATTCAGACTGAAAATAAACCAAACAAATTCAAATTGGAGTTAATTTGGCAATGACTGCTTGATAGATTAACAATGGTGGAATTGGATATTTCTATTGAGAAGTAAGTATTTTACGCTACTTCATAAAACAAACCAGAAGAACACGCAATCATTTGGACTCGTTCAAACGTGTCCATACGCCCAACCCAAACACCTCCTGTCCGCGACCTGCCAGGACTTAAGCCGATAGAAAAGAGGAAAGCACTGCGCCAGTTCACCTTCGCCGTAAGTAATCCCGTCACGCGAGTATATATCCGGCTCCCGAAAGTAAATCCTAGCTCCGACGCCCCAGCAAGCAAGTTGTGTATCTGTTTGTGTATGTAGCGCGTAGATATGTAGGCACATGCGTGTAGCACTGCAGTAACGATCGATGAAATAACCCATAAGAGGCGAAGTAGCGACAGTGAAGTGGAGAGCCGCCCAAACATCCATTTTTTTTCCCTTTTCGTTCTCTTCTCGACATATCTCTCTTCCATATTTCTCGCTTGTATTTTTCTTCTTCTTCTTCTTCTTCTTCTCGACGCAGATTTAGAAAGCGGGTAGGTATAATAATAATATCGTAATAGTACAAGTGGTTTGGTTCCTATCAAGGTGGCTTTAGAACTGGAAGAAATTCCCATTAGGACCGTTTTGGGGCGGGGGGCCTGTGGCAAAGCCCTCAGATACTGGAAGGGGCCCGAGCATGTCGTTCTGCATCATGTAGCGCATAGTGTCCTCGTACGAGACCGGGTCGCCGGGGCTGCCGCCGCCAAATCCCGTTAGTGTGAGCCCGAGAGCCTGCTCAAAGCCGTCTCCGAGACTACCGTAATCGAAATCATTAAGCCCGAATGGTGAGGCCATCCAGGGCATTAACGATTGTTCAGGTCCCGGTCCCATTTGTAAATTCCCCCTTGGTGTCGGACCACCCGTCGGGTCGTACATAAAGGGCTGGTGGGGTTGCGGTGCTGCGCGCAACCACTCTTGAAATGCCTGTGTGTTGTTATTATCCACACCGGGCGGAGGCGGATTCGAACCACTGTTGCGTGGTGGGCCGTTTCCGGTTGCTATTTCTGAAAGTAGTTGGAGTGGAGTGTTTGTTGGTTCGGGATTTGAATGAGGTTGATGTTGTTGCTGTTGTTGCTGCTGTTGCTGTTGTAAATGTGTACTTACGTCGCTATTCTCGTCCCTTGGAGATGCCGATCTCTTGGCGTGATGGGCCGCCACAAGCTCCGATTCTTCATCGTTTTGACCTACCTTGCCTTGAGCCTGGCCCTGCCTATAAAACCAATTACGCAACATGGCCAAAACGAGGAGGAATTTGCTGGCAGGCCGCGACTTATCCGATGCGGCAACCTCTCGAAATTTCTCCAGCAGTTTCTCGAGATACTCGGCAACCTTCATGTTGTCCTTGTTAATGACTTTACCTAATTCGGAATCCGAGTTGCTGGCGCTGAAATACATTTTTATCAACACGACCACGGCATAAGCAACCCGAACGAAACTAAAGATCGGGATACAACGGATACTATGGACGTCCATAGACAGGAAGGTCTCGAAGATGCCATCGATGGCGGTAAGACATGATGATAAAGCGCTGATATGCGACGGGGTTAGAGAGTCATCTAAACCTGGAATGGGTTCCCGAAGAGAGTCGGCATTACACGGAGGTCGATATTCCTCTGCACTCTTATCAACGTGCAATGCGATTTCATGCATGTACAAATTCAGTACATGGAAGCCAAGTACAAGGGATGCTGCTAGAGGTTAGCCAAGACGACAGCCCAGGTGGAATTGACACCAACGTACGCCTTTTATCTGATCTGGGGATAGATTCGCTATACTTGGAGAGGTCACGTTCGAACCCTCGAAGAGCATACTGTACTTTTTGCTCTGAGACATTGACGAATACACTGGGGTCGTCCATTGAGAACTGGATTCCTACGTCCTCGGCGAGTCGGTGCGTCCAAACAAGATGGCAGAGGTACCTATCCGTGGGTGCCGCATCTGGGGAAGATTCTAGGATATCCATACACTCGGTCATAAATGACTGCCATCTAATCAGGTTTGGACGGTGCAAAGCCATGGATACGTTCGAAGAAAGGAAGTAAACTGCGAGCCACGTCCGTCGTGCTTCGATCGAGGTAGGGTCCGGAAGAGGCTGTTTCCTGAAAGGATGGTCACGCCAGGTATACGGTATGAGTCGAGACTTTGGATTATACTGCCTCCTACCCAAACCAATATCGATTGACATGACAGCCGCCAAATGTACAAACTGGTAAAACTTCAACTCCTCAAAATGCTCAGGTGGATAGTACCAGATGACGCTGACGAGGATCGACTGAACCAATTCTAAGGATTTCTTGCCTGAGATGATGATGTGATCGGCGAATATCTGCATGATCTCCTTAACTAGCTGGCGTTGAAGCTTCGGCGTTTCGGATGAGGCAGCCGCGATAACAGCGAGGAATAAGATGGGCTTCGTCTTGCGGACTTCGGTGGCAGTCGTGCCTTCGGAAAAGACGACAGCCGGTAGATGAGGCACCATATCCTCCATATACCGGGTGAAAAGAGCGGCAGCTTCGCTCATGGTTATTAACCCACGATCGATTATATCTGGCGGCTGCTGCTCTGATCCAACGCTAGGCTTAGGTGCTGCTGGCGAAGCGCTGGCCACGCCAGGGGGACCGGATACCGATTCGGTGAACTTTCGTTTCTGACCCGCCATAGTTGTCGGTGGTACTAATGGACGCTTCTCGGGCGAAGCAACAGGATGAGATTGGTGTTGAGGTTGGGTTTGAGTGTCTCGAGGCGGAGCGCCCCAATCTCTTGCGGGTGCGGCATGATTGTATCCGAAGGTATGGTCCTCCGATGGGGGCGGATGGACGGCATTGTTAGGTGTTCCTCTACTCGCCTGGAGGCTTGCAGTCAACGCATCTATTTTCTTCTCCAGTTCTGCAACACGGCTATCCGTCTTTTTCTGCCTCTTACGTGTGGGCTGCGTCACGATGCAGTTCCTCCCTGCCTTCGCGCACCGTTTGCATGGCCCGTCCGGGTTCGCGGGATCGGGTTCACATTTCACCTTTAAACCACGACAAGCCTCGCAGGCTCGCGGCCGCTTAGGATCGTTCGGATCATGCGCCGCATTAGGAGTATCGCTGTTGGCCGAATGCGAATGTGAATGCGAATGGCCATTCGGGGTTTGGGGGGTGAAGCCGGTCGTGGAAGCTGGCGGTGATGGACCAGCTGTTTGAGCTTGAAGCTGTTGTTGAAGTGGCGAATCGGGGAGTTCTAGTTGTGTTTCTAGTTGTGTTGATGCTTGAGCCGGTGCAGGTCCTGATGATAATGACGATGATGTTGATATTGACGTTGATGCGGGGATTCCTGCGGCGGCGACTTGAGATGATAGCGGATTCGTCGGACCGTTGACGACAATTGAGTCCTCACCGGCATCACGAAGACGTGGGTCAAGTGAAGCTGGATCCATCTCGAACTTTTTTTTTTTCTTTTTCTCCGTCCCCCGAAAAAAAAAGATCGAGATGCCCGCTTACCGGCTTAGTGCTAGAGGCTCACACGTACAATTGCGTACAATGTCGCAGCAGTAGATGACCGACTCGGCGGTTGTAACGGTCAACATAACACCCGGCGGCCGACGGTATGAGATGTACATGGGAGGGAAATCAACGGGTAGGAATTTCGTCGACAAGTGGCTGGGCCTTTCAAGAGCCTTGGGGCCTTGGGGCCTTGGGTCTTTACTTGGTGCTACAAAGAACTGGGGCAACCCGTTCCGGTTCCACTCTTTTAACTACCTTAAAGGCAGGAGGTACCTAACCTATGACGGACTTCACCTGGGCACCTGCATAGGATGTAGTTTCTGCTTTTCCATTTTAGTTAGGTACTTCTTTCATTGTAATAACCCGATATTGTTCCGAGTTATTTTACCCCTTTTCTAGAGGCATATCGTGGTAGCTACCGTCATCAGATCAACGGATTTGAAAGTAGACTAATACTGCCAATCCCGAGTGCTGACTAACAAGCATCGTCGTCATATTTCGTGCATAACTCAAACAACCCCACATCATCATATAGTTATTTCATTCAAAGATTAACTAGTCCATATAAGATAACTTCCGACTTTAAAGTACTCTGCTACGAAAGCTTCCAGGCAAATATTTCATAGTTCATACTTAAAAGATACCTATTCATATACTATCTTTTACCTCCAACGCAATTTCAGAAACAACAGATATCACGTTAATATGCGTTCGCCAAAGAGCAACAACTGAATGTAGATTCTACTACTTTGTCAGTTTATAATATTGTAGCCCGCAGTATACTTTAGCCTTAGTATAAATACATGTAGCAGAAATCTCTCTAGGCCAATGCCTGTTCCTTTATCATGAGTTGAATACTTAGATTATCTTATAGGACGCAGTAGCTCGACAAAGCTCACCTTGATAAGACTGCTGAGTACCTAATGTTTTAAATTACTAGGTTACCTTGATCTGATATGAATAACTTTCGATAAATAACCGTGAATGATGCAATATCATTGAACCACAGTTTAGTGTAAAAGATATTCCCGCACAACAGGTATGCTTAAAGAATGTTCCTACTGGGTAGCATGCTACTTATAGGTGCAGCACAGCCAGAATGAATATGAATAGACAAGATTGGTAGCAGATTAATCATCTCCCTTAAAAGAGATAGTCGTCGATATCAGCTCGGTGTTACGGGATTCCACCGAGGACTCTCATGCAAGGAATCAAACTAAAACTAAAAGCAATGCGAAGCAAATGCATGTATAAGATTGGGTCGGTCTTATGAGAAATTGGTCCGAGACGATGGCGACTATAAATATTTTAGGAGCACGTTTTATTGTGCGGTAGTGATACGAAAGAGGCAAGTTAGAGGGAGTCGGTTTCGATGTGCTTCTTTCAGCAAGTTATTATTGTTCTACAGTGAGCGTAGGCACTGCCTTCTTGAGTCATCAAGAAACACATAAACAGGTGCTGTTGCGTAATCAATTAAATACTTGACGAAAGAGTGAAGCTGCAGAGAAGATCATCCTCCATTAGGTACTTAATTTATCTGACCATTGTTAGAAGCACGCGGCTGCATGAGACATGTCCGGATTGGGAGTAGACACTCGCAATATCGTGGGACTACGCAACCAAAAGTACCTCATATAGGTTAGGTAGGTAGGTATGCCTGCTCGAGGTTCTTACCATATCATGAAAAGATTTGTCTGCCAAGCCCATTCCATGATGCCTTTCGAGCTGGCCTTTGCATAATGTCGGTTTTCCCTCTTAGCGAACTCAGATTTCTCGATCTCACATATACGGTCACGAACACGAAATGGATCCATGACTTGTCGATAACATTCAAAACTATTAACGTTATCTTAGAAGAACTCTGGTAATACCCGTATTCAAATACAGTCTCTACCAAGATTACAAGGTGTAAGCCCCAGTGCAGACAGCCGTGCGTAGGTCACAAGGACTCGGCAGAAACGCCCACGAAACGGGCGGACGTCTGTTTCGTGCGTAGGTCTGAGATCTGTTTATTCGTTACCCTTGCGTAGGAAATTCGACGGCAGTTTATTAATCATTGTTATGTGTACCATATAGGCACGTAAATAGGGTGCCGCTATGACATTTCACCTTTTCGGTAATACATACCAAATTTGCCTAGTCGATCTTAGCCGCATTCAAAATTAAATCCCCCGGGCTGCCCGATGCGTGCAAAGCTGGTGCACGTGGATATGAGCTGACAGGTCATATTGGGTCCCTAGCTCACTTCCCTGGAGATGAGCGCCACCCTTTTGAGTACGGGGTGAAGATAACGAATGGTACCCGGGTATTACCGTAAACGGGTAGCGAAACAAAATGCGTCGTCGAGTACCAGTTCATGCTCGGAGGGAGATAGCAAGGATCTTGATAGGAACAAAAACCAATATTTCCAGGATGAGGAAGCCATGAAAACCCCAGCTTGAGTATATACATGGCACGGTAACGACAGTTGAGACATTCTTGAGTTGAGACAAGGCTATTATCGCTCCGGTTCGCTTTATCCCTATATCTAATAGCATATGTATTATATACCATAGTGTCCTCAGCTGCAGATTTAATTATTAAAGTCAGGGATGTTCATAACCCCAAGTGTCAACCCCTGCTACTGCATAACAATCAAAATGGGCCTTGAGCCCTTGCTACCCTCCTGTTTTCTTAGTCGGGAACGAATTTCGAGAATAATTCTCGCTTAAGTCTTCCGCACTCGTTCGCCGTCGATTGGTGAACTGCGCAACTCCAGTATAAGCTTCACTTCCAGCTACCGATTCGGAGCCGGTATATGTATTCCCTCGCCGGCAAGCGAAGAGGGTTTCTCACCTCAGCAACAAGCCAACCGGTATTGCTCCGGGGGTGAAGGCTTTGAAGGCTTAAGACTCCGGTCCCGATATGTCTGTCGTCTATGCCCGGCTCTCGATCATAGGAAGCAGCGATGAATTCGCGACACCAGTAGCCGATCGTATCCAGACCAACCTCGTACCGCTCACCAGCGAAGGATCTAAGATCATTGCCTCGGGTGTGGTTCTGTTTTTCCTCACCGCGTTATGGACCGCCCTACGATTTTGGAGCCTTCGACGAAGTGGTCGAGCATTTATGGTGGATGACGGATTGAACCTAGGAGCGGTGGTCCTGTTCTATGGCCTCATAGCGATAGAGTTCTCTATGGTGCTAGCAGGTGGTCTGGGTCATCATATCGGAGAGCTACAGGATTGGCACGTAGTGCGACTTATGAAGGTTCGTCAATTTATCAATTAAATGCCACAAGGCGACTCTACGACGACCTTCTAGTTCCTGGCCCCTTGCTATGGCGAACAAGATACAAGCGCTAACAAGTATAATCATTCTAGATTATTTATGCTGGCCAATTTCTATATGCAGCTTCGCTCGGCCTGATAAAAATCAGTGCTATCCTGGTCTTGATACGTATCTTCTTCGACCACCGGTTCAAGCTTGCTGCTATAGCTACCTTGGTTTTCACCGTCATTTGGATGGTTGTGAGTATGCTCATCGAGTTTCTAATATGCCAGCCAATTGAAATGAACTGGCACATTCGAACGCCCGGCGGCACTTGCGGAGATCAAAGGACGGCTTTCGCAGCATTGAGCGTCATCAATATCATAAATCAGCTCATGATCTTGGCCCTGCCTCTGCCTATGATCTTAAAACTTCAGATGGAATGGCGGTACAAAATTGTCACCATTTGCGTATTTAGTATTGGTATACTGTGAGAAAGACTCATCTCCCGAACAGCCAGCATCTAGGCTAACATACCCCGTGCCACATATAGTACTTTAATATTTGGCGCCATCCACCTTTCGACGATTATACAGATTGACTTTGCCGACGTGCCATATACGATAGTACACGCAACTCTTTATGGAACGTGTGAGGCCGGCGTCGCTATCATAGTGTCCAGCTGCCCCCTCCTTCGACCTGTATTCGACACGGTGCTCTCAATGCGTTCATGCAGAGACACGACATGGAGAGGCAAAGGCACGATTCTTACGCTATCCAGGACACGTAAAAGCACGAAATCGAGTGGATTCACTCGGATGGGTACTGAGTCGCGAGAGGAGCTCGAGTTGGGTAATATGGGAGCGCATCGAGCCAAGCGGGATACGTTCATTACAGTAGGCAAACGGCCTACATTCCGCGATGACGACGATAACAGCTCTTTGCAAAAGATTGTGGTGACGAGTGAGACTATAGTCAGTAGAGTCAAAGGAGAGCTCTAATTTTAATCCAAACTTTTTGCATTTTCCATTGGGTCACCTAGGGTCTAGAAAAAAAAATCAAACCGAGCCGCGAGGCTCACTTGCAACGGACGTTGTAATTGTACTTGGGACGGAGTTGCCATAATCGAATTCAACGCGAGGTTATAACATTGCTACCTAAACCTGGACGGCGATTCAGGTAGTAGCTATATGTTTCGGTTTGAGCCTATAGCTCCTTTCATCTCCTCGATGTATCATGTCTATTACCGTACGACATGGACATTGTTTTCCTTATTGTATACTCACACATAGACCAGAATTAATTTACGGCAGGGCATGAGCTTGGCTAGACGACGTCTAGTTGGTGTTAGATAATAATCGGGACAATGATTACTGAGGCGCCAAATGGGTATCTGGTCTATGCGATATGGGTGGATTGAAGCTGGACGAGAAGCACGAGATACACTAACTCATAATTGTTATAGGAGATGGAAGATAAAGAAACTAATGTCAGATTGAATTGACTATTTCATATAGAAAATAAGCCAGACTAAGACATCGTTACATCAGCCGTGTATAACTTCAAGCGCATACTATTCCCTTCTGTCTCCGTGACGTCTTCGAGCAGTCGTTTCCCCCGAGTTCCCAAGTCTTCTCCATTATCTAGGTTCTCAATGATTATATTTAAGCATCGGCCTATGCAATGACTCAAGGAAGGCGTTCCTCACAACCCAAGGCAGCCTTTCTAGACCCAAGTTCACCACGTGAAACATAATATCAGTATATTTCGTTCGGAAATAATGTACATCACTAACCTAGAAAGCATCTTGCCGATATGTTCGGCCGCAAACCGACATAAATCCGAGAAAAGCAAAAATATCGAGGTACTTAGAGAAACGGGCAGATCTCCTCCAAGTCCATGTTGCCCATATATTAGTATAGATAGGCTTTGTTAAACTTTTTGCCACTTCTGGAATATACTTGACCATTTCAGGAGTCTTCGAATAGTTTAAAGCAGCCCGATGAATGAATTCTAATACCGATCATTTTATCTCAAGTATACCATGGCACGGGGTTGGATATCGGTATAGATCAATGCATATGCCTACATATCTTAGGTACCTACTCCGTACATAATGTGAATATCTTTAAGATATAATTCATATTAGAAACAAGTTAGAGAAAACGGGTAGGAATCTAAGAGACCTTGAAGAAATTATAATCGGAGTTAAGAGGTACCGATGTATCCCGTACCTAGCAGCCAAGCAGCCAAGCAGCCAAGCAGCCAAGCAGCCAAGCAGGAAGGCGGTAGGCGGTAAGATTTTTAGCTCCATCCGGCGGCAGAAAGGCCCCACTCCCGAAAAAATAATTTGGACCTGTCTTGAATCTCAATTCAAGCTTATCTTGCGATACAAGAAAATTTCCGCCTTGAAGCGCAAAACTTCGTAGTCGGCGCAAATGGTCTCAACAAACCCAAGCTTGAAGCGCAAGGCTTCCGTGGTCGAGGCAGATCACCCAAATCAGCCTCAATCCGATGACGAGTTCGGAGATGGCCTTCTAGAGGGTGTGCTAGAAGACGAATCCGACGATGAGGAGTCCGAAGTAGAAGATGACGACGACAACGACATTGAGGGGGACACGCTTGATGCTGATGATGATGAATTGGACAGTGACGATATACCAACAGATGATGAGGAACCGGAGAAGAAGCAATTATCAAATGGAGTCGAGTTTGACGAAGACATTGGCCCTCACTACAAAATTGAAACAGATGCCAATGGGGGCACTAGATACGTCTACGATGAGGTTGACCCCGTATACGATTCAGACGATTCAGACGCCCAAGAACCCGTAAACACGATCGGAGACATACCTCTTTCGTTCTACGACTCATACCCTCACATAGGATATGACATCAACGGGAAGAGGATTATGCGTCCCGCTACTGGTGAGGCTTTGGACGCTTTATTAGATAGTATCGAGGTGCCGAAGGGCTGGACTGGCCTCACGGATCCTGCAACTGGCAAGCCATTAAACCTGAGCCAGGACGAGCTAGAGTTATTACGACGAGTCCAGATGAATGAGATCCCCCAAGAAGGATATGATCCGTATCCGGTAAGTTTTATGACTTCTATATATTTTTCTAGTTCTAATATAAGCCCAGGATACTGTCGAATGGTTTACGAGTTTTGAGGAGACGATGCCTTTGAGCGCCGCACCAGAGCCAAAGCGACGCTTCTTGCCTTCAAAACATGAAGCGAAACGAATAATGAAGCTAGTCAAGGCAATTCGAGAGGGCCGGATACTGCCGTATAAACCTCCAGAGGAAAAGCAGAGGGAAGAGGAAGAAGAGGAAGAAGTTCATTATGATTTGTGGGCCGACGAGACGCCTCGGCCCCCTAACGTAATGCACATTCCCGCCCCCAAGCCTGCTCCTCCTGGCTATGATCTCAGTTACAATCCACCTCCAGAGTATCTCCCTACGGAGGATGAAAAGAGGGCTTGGGCCGAGACCGAACCGGAAGAGCGAGAAAAGGAGTACTTGCCCCAAAAATACGACTCTTTACGGAAAACTCCTGCATACGATCAATTTGTCAAGGAACGCTTTGAAAGGTGCCTTGATCTCTACCTTGCGCCCCGAATACGGAAGAATAAGTTGAATATCGATCCTGCATCATTACTCCCCAAGCTTCCGCGACCGGAGGAGTTGAGACCCTTCCCTACCATCGCGTCGATTGAATACGCTGGTCACGAGGGTAGGGTACGATCTGTTGCCATTGACCCATCTGGACAATGGTTAGCTAGTGGTGGCGATGATGGCACAGTGAGAGTGTGGGGCCTCGCAGACGGTAAACAGCAGTGGAAAGTCAAACTTAGCAGCGAGGACCCGGTAGATGTAGTGCGATGGCGACCAGGCCAAGAAGCTTCAATCATATCGGCTGCTGTGGCCGAAGATATTTTCTTCATGATCCCATCATTTGGGAGCCCGGAGCTGGAACAGACTAGCCGGGATATATTGGATGCAGGATTTGGTTATGCTACCAACGGCAAGCAACTAACAACAGCTAACGGAGCAGCACGAAAAGATCCCCCGGCGAAGTGGTCACGACCAGGGACACGTCTAGAGGATGAGGGTGTTCTACTGAAAGCTACAGTTCGCTCACCTATCAAGTCAATCAATTGGCACCGGCGAGGAGATTTCTTCTGTACGGTATCCCCTAGTGGACAAAGAAGCTCCGTGGCCATTCATACCTTATCCAAGCATCTTACTCAAATCCCCTTCCGAAAACTTCCCGGGTTGGCACAGACGGCATCATTCCACCCTTCGCGGCCCATGTTTTTTGTTGCGACCCAAAGGTCGATACGGTGTTACGATCTCCAAAAACAAGAATTAGTCAAGACTATTCAGCCTGGCGCCCGCTGGATCTCATCATTTGACGTGCATCCTGGCGGTGACAACTTAGTTGTTGGATCATACGACCGTCGTTTACTCTGGCATGATCTTGAGATGTCAAACAGGCCGTATAAGACAATGCGATTTCATCCTCAGGCAATCAGGGCTGTGAAGTTTCACCGTACCCACCCACTATTTGCGGATTGCAGCGACGACGGTACTCTACAAATATTCCATAGCAAAGTCGTGAGCGATCTGATGGAAGGACCGACTATTGTGCCTGTGAAGATGCTCAAAGGACATAAGGTGGTCAACAGGCTTGGTGTGACAGATATTGATTGGCATCCGCAACACCCATGGTGCGTAAGTGCGGGCGCCGACGGAACATGTAGATTATGGACATAAGCTCGGCTTTTATGGCTTTTATAGCTTTTATGGAAGGGAACGGGTGGGTGCCTAGTAGCAGAGCACGGTTCACCAGACTTCCATTATAAAAGAGTCTTGTAGCGACGGCGTTTAGAGAAATATACCTCATATACATACATTTAAAAACTCTTGCCCATGTTGTTCTTAGTATTAGTCTTACATGATATCGCCTGGTTATATTCAAACGAGCTATAGCCTATTGTTCCTTGACTCCACTCGTTTCACCACTTGATTCACCATGGCGCCCAATCAATAGAGGTATATGTCACCTTAGTCTCCCGCCCAGTGATTCGTCGTGTCTTCTGCAAATCATATTCCTATCTAGATCGTAAATGGCCAGCCCGGTTACTACACGGTTGTGTTGGGACTGAACTGAGCTAACAAGGCAATGCCCATCCAACCATTACTGCCCAATGATCCGATCCTCCTCTTCCTTTAACTATATCTCTCTGCCTAGAATACTTATTACTGTTATTGTCACCCCAGAGCATGAATCATCATCCATCTTACTACTTTATCTACATCTGTGTATTAACGCAATACAATGTAGAACTGACCCCTTTTTAACAAGATGTGTTCTCCCCATGCTAGCAAAGAGCAATTTTTCAGCTTCAATATTCACATCCCGACCGCCTATCATTTCTGTCTATGTCATCATTGTCAGCTAAAGAGGGAAGGAGAGAAGTATAATAACCGATAGTGTTCTATATCACCTCCTCAACCACTCAACCATCTATACAGACATCACATTGCTCGGGATTAATCAGGATGACGGATCTGTGGTCGACTAGCAGACTACGATACTATCTCCCTAGCACAGGCAAGTATAGACGTTGGTATAAGTAATAACTCTTCTACAGATACCGCCAAGACGAAAAATAGTGATATCCCCGTATTATAGTCTTGGTACCGGGTCAACGGAAGGATGACGTTGGCGTTGCTCAGGCCCCTCTTGTAGCAGCGTAGCAAGTCACATGCTAATTAGAACTAGCTATCTGTGATATTTGTACGGGGTAGTAGCGCCATTTGTGCATTGGTAAGTAATCTTAACGAGATCTCACTATTTATCACTAGTTTAACGACCTAGGACGCAGTCTATTTACGACTTAACGATCGATACGACGTCAAGAGGGTAAATATACCTGGCCTACTACGGACACAGCTAGTAAAAGATAGGACATCTAGCTGAGTCTCGATGAATCCACACCCACGTCCAAGTTTCTAGACTTTAGGAATAAGGCGGTGCTAGTTAAGGGGGGCATGGCATGCTAGATGAGGGGACCCAATTCCAAGGACCCACTGAGATGGGTACGATAGGAAATAAGGAAACGGAAATCGACATCCTAAGAAAGGCATAGGAATATCGAGTCATCATGAAGCGTTACTCAGAATGGGTGTAGTCGGTTTAATAGGTGCTATTATCAGGAAATAGTGAGTAGGCCACAGACGCTTATTCTAAGTCGGGCAAGGCATATCTACATACAGATCTGTCTACCAGTCGATCACCCATTAAGATGGAACCAGAACGAATTCGAACGCGTTGGTATTCTTGCGAAGGGAATCTCGAACTACAAAGAATGCTCGCTGCTCTACAATCTATCTCGCTATCGAACTTTCTGCCAACGAGATCCCCTCGGCGATTTTGTTGACAGCAATCAGCTAATCCTCTTAACTCACACTCCTTCCTACCTGATCAAAGCTACTGATTGCTAGAAGCTATTCTTCCGGCGTCATTTTCTCAGTCTCGACTTCGAGGGT